GTGAATCTCTTTTTGTACATATTGGTATCCACCAACATACTTTTCCCAGGCTTCATGCTAGTTCCTTGCCAAAACATTGTAATTGCACTGACAATTTCCATTCTTAGTTTTTGGGTAAATATGCTTCTTAAACAGTCTGACAATGTACTTATTGACCAAGAATACAATTTGACTCTTTCCCCTCGCCCCCCACAATCCCAGCAGTGATGACACATACTAAGATTACAACTGAAAACATCCAATGAATGTAACCTGTTTGAATTTAATAGTGTCCATCCACTTCAAAAATCCCAAAGTTTTCAAAAAGTAAGAAAACCATGTACTTGCATACTCATAGTCAGATAGGCATGGGACCAAATTGAATGTCTTCTCCTGGAGGTGTGCAAGAAATGTCAATGTCTGCGAGTAACGATGGAGAGAGCACAGGATTGTGAAGTCTAGGACACTTAAGCATTTGTTTAACTGTAAGCCCAAGACAACACCACTGAAATCACTAGGTTTATTCCTGCACTTAACAGTAATTTATGCCTTTACACACCAGCTTGACTTCAGACTTGTCTGTACTATACTGACTATGCAATTTTACTCAGCTCCAATTGATCAGAATCATTGTGCAGCCCTTAGTGGGTCTTAAGTGATATTAGACATTTCATTAGAGAAACACTGTTTCCATTACCATTTACAATTTGAGCATTTTAAAACTGTCATTAAAATATGTAGCTTTAGAACATACTTTTTTTCATATATGTAGCAGATGGCTACTTACTGGCAACTGGTCATGTATTAATTTTCAGAAACCTGTTTCCTGAATATGATTAATGACTCACATCTCCTTCATATCTCTTTATTCCAGATGAAGGGTGTATGGATTCTGAAATTCAAGACATGTGCTGAACACCTAATTGGGCTGCCAATGGCTCAAAAATATTATAAGTTCAAAAACTCAGGTAATACAAAGTTTGATCCCTGGGTATTTCACATTTACACACCTGTGGTATTCAGGAAATAGAGTTTATATTGATATTTTAGCTATTAGAATTGGTTACATTATGACAAATCAGTAATTTGTTGGAGATCTTTAATGCATTTAGGCTTTTAAAGCAGAAAATACAACATGCTCTGCAATGTCTCTTCCATTATGAAGAAGAAAAATAATTCAAGGATGAACTGAAATTTTCTCCATACAGTCTTTGAAATTGAAAATAATTTTAAAAGCCCAAATTTTGTCAGACATTTGCAGAGAGGCCATTTGTGACTGGAAAAACCCCCTGAAACAACCCACCATAAATTAGTAAGAAGATAAGAGCTACCATTATTTCAGCCAGATAAGAACTCCATGTAATTTGTTGTCCTCAAAGTGTGGCCAGTTACACCACTTAGGAAAAGAATTTCCTCTTTTATCTCCTATAGTTTTTCTATGATACACCTACTTCTGCCAGGCAATGAGTGGTTTAGGGACCGACCCCTAAGCATCTGCACATATATGAGCTTTTTTAATAGCCAGTAAGGGACTATGTCACAGCTAATGAGGTGAATCTTGTTTTCAAGACATTCCTAGTCTGGCACCCCACAGCATTCTTCTGCCATGCACTGGGTTAAGTAAGTGGGGGTTTTTGCCTGTTAAATCTGCTGAACCTCCTCATTTTCTTGATGGGAAAGAAGAAAGATGGGAAAGATGGCACCAAGTTATTTTTCAGATTGTGCCTGAGCAGAAGAGTATTTGGTGTGTGCCACCTGTATCTATACAGGTGCAAAACTTTTTTATCCCTTTTGTTTCTGAATTATTCCTGAAACGGTGCTTTCATTGGTCACTGGGCTGATAGTTTTGCTGGACTGTCTGCGATGACTTCCAGAACTTTTTAAACTGACAGTTGGTTTAGACATGATTGTGAATCTAGAGTTAGATTTCTCCCTGTTTTGTGCTTGCTGACAGTGAATTTTATTTTCCTTACACGTAGTACATATGTGAAATCTCGAATGGTCCAGTTTCAGGTATTACAAAGATTTTAATGTATTGTATGACAAGTTGGTTAAGACTGACAAAACTGGTAGAAACACTTCAAACTTTTATTTTACACATCCTCAAACTGTGAATCCATTAAGATATTTATTCTAAACCACATTATTTTATTTCTTACATTCCAGCAGAAGTTTTGATGACATTCTTACTGAGAATTTTTGAGAACAATATTTCTTAGGAACTAATCAGCCCAATACAGAAATGTGAGAAACTTTACAGGCATACATTACCTGTTAATTTCAGTGAATCACAATTTTAGAACTTTTGATCATCTACTGTAATGCACATAACAGAACTTGTATTGTTGACTCAAAAGTGAAAGGCTCTGATGAACCTCAATGCTGAAAATTTTTTAGTTAAGCAGCTGCATAGATATTTATAAAATAAATTTGTCTTAAATTATTTATTTATGATCCACTATTAAAACACTTGAAACAACACTGACATCTGTTTCAACTTTTTTGGTAGTCAAAATCATGCAGTAGTGTGCATGAATAACTCAGTGGTGTGAGACTCAGGTAACCAAAGGACACTCTCTAGGTGCGTCAAACAGCAAGTTATGACAACAGCTGTGTAAAGTTTGCTTTGAGCTTGTTCAACCAAATGATTATTTGAACAAAGCCCACCCACCATCAGAGGCAGCTACTGCCTGGCAGTGAAGCTGTTCACTCATTTATTAAAAATGCCTAACTAACACCTAAACAGCAAATACCATGCATGTCAGTGCTGCCAACTCATCTGCGTGTTTTACTAATCATCTACAAGTCTAGTGTTTTCTTATATTTGTAGTGATAATTCTTGATATTTATCTCATTTCTAGCAAAAAGTGACAATGTAGGAGTAACTGCTTTCAGACAGATGATTTATCAAATTATGCTGCTTACACATGAATTGTATGGAATCAGTCTGGATTACATTTGCTCATGTCCATATTCATGACCTTCCAGTTGCTGAGTTTACAAACTTTCATAAACCAAAGATTAATTTCTAATTAAATTCAGTAGTCTGAAGGCCTGGAAAGTTCAGAAATGGGAAGGAACTTAAGAAAATCCAAGACATATAGAAAGTGGCTGAGGTCCTTCAGTAGGTGGCACACTTCCCTCTCAGTCAGTTGAGAAGGAAAGTATTTGCAGGATGCTTGGGGCGCTTGCCTGTGGGAAGATTCCAGGGATGCAAAAACCAGGAAGGTAGCCAATGTGGTTAGGAAGGTTCCCATGGCATGTGCCAGAGGAGTTATGGAGATAGGATAATGTGGTGAAATTCTACATAGCTGCAAGTTAGTCAATGCAATTTTTCTCATCCAAAGTGCCCCCTGCCATTTTGAGATATCTTCTTTACTCTGTTTTCAAGTTGCCACTAATCACTGTTAAGAGCGGTCTGCCCCTCTGCTCTCTCCAGCCCATACATGAAATTCTCTATTCATGAAGCACTGGAGGTTTCTTTGAATTGGAAGGTGATGTAAAAGAGTTGCCTGTTTGAGAAGAATGCTAAATGAAAGGCTATCAGGGCTAATGGGAATAAAAATAGGTAAGCTTTTAGAAAATTAAGTCACTTAATAGTTCAGGTTATATATAACTCAGAAGTTGCTAAATCATGCCATGCTTTTGGCAGGCTCTTACTTCAGTTGTTCCTATAAAAAATGGGGCAGGGTGAGGGGGAGAACTGAGTCCTGTATACAAAATCTGCAGGAGCTAATACTTTGTATTTAACAAGAAATAATCAGTGCTTAGTAACATGTTCCACTTGTCAACAAGGCAAAATATTTTTTCCAAATCCCTAAAAGTTTTTCAAAAACTTAATTGGGTTGTGATGTTAAAAAGGACAAGCAAAGTGAACTTACAAGCTTTATTTATCTCACATGAGAAGTGCACATAATCCCTTGCCTGAGTTTCGAGTCAGCAGTGTAGATTTTCCTATTCAGCTAGTCAATTAGCTATGAAAAAAAATTAAAATGAGTAAAAGAAATCAAATTTTATTAAAAAAAATTTCCCAGGATTCATGGGCTTTAAAAAAATGTTCCCATGAAAGGGCATAATTTCAGAAAATTCTGCCTTTTTCATTTTTTCGCCCTTTTCCAAGGTCAAGTGATGACATGTTATTATCAAGTTGTTGATGCACACAGCATGTTAGTTCTGCATCTGGAAATACTTTATTTGGAGAAAATAACTTTTTTTTTTTTTTTTTTTTTTTTTTTTTTTTTTTTTAAGGAAATCTCAAGATAGCAGAAAAATATTTTTCCTTCAGGAAATACAGCCATTTGTTCATTACCAGGCAAACAGGACTCCCCTTCCTTTGGGCCCTCTGCCAGAGTTATTTACACACAGGCTTGTTCAAGCTAACCACCTTGGCTTCGTGCTCCTTCACACCATTTGATACTGTATGAGATTGGAGCTGTTGTGGATAAAGAAGTGCTTCACTGTGACTCCTTTGTGTTCTGTGGAGGAGTCACGGGCACACTCCCCCATGAGGAAAGATTACCCTTGTTTACGTGGGAGAGTAGACAAACAAGATACAGCAGCCTGGATTCAAGGAACACATAGGAAGAGGTGTTGAGAGGGTGAAATGGCAGTGTCTTTTTCTCTCATATGATAAGATGGCACTTGAGCAAAAGGAAAGCAATGTGTAGAAATGAGAAAGTGGAATGCTGTGGCTGGAAATGCATTTTATGCTATTAAATGACTAAATGATATGTGAAACTCATAGCTGCTAGTTATCTCTAAGAAGAGCTTGAGATGGTCAGTAGAAGGTAAGTATCTCTTAAAATAATAAAAAACCTCAGTTACCTGAATTATTACTGCTCTTCAAATGGATTTTGTGATGTATTTGACACCCTAAGTAATGTCAGAGGCAAATGCAGCCCTTTTAGTACTCTTGCCAATTCTTCTGATCCATCTGCGTCTCCCTTCTTTCTCTTGGTCCTTGCTGGCCCCAGAGCCACTGGGTGTGCCCTCTCAGGCTCTCCTTGGCAGGAACTGGTGGCTGGAACCCTCACTCTCACAGGCCATTCATCATCCAGCACCCAGCTCAGGGCCCTTCTCTCTCCAATGAGCAGAGAAACAGCAGGTCAGAAAAATGAGAGAAGGAGTATGGCAGGAAGCTCCTGTATAAATAAGGACAATCTGTTTTAAACATCATTGGTAGGAAACTTCTAGTATTTATTGATCAGGAAAGCCATTCACAGGCAGTTTCACATAGATTTTCTAATTTAATCAAAACTTAAGAAAGAGGATCTAAACAGCAAAATAACATCACTAATTTTGTTTTGCACACCTACCCTCTGAGACTTTCAGAAAATTGGATACATTTGGTCCATTTTGGTTTACACTGCTCACAATGAAATCAGTAAAGAGGTATCAATGCCTTATATAAAGGAATTATCCCTTTTGCTGCAGTTCTATCTGTAACAACTTTGTGAAGAATAGTAATGAGCTTGTGGGTACAGGTTTGGGGACGAAGTAATTTTTTCTTAAGAAAGGACGAATTCTTTTAAAATCATTAGCTATTTTAGGAATGAATGGTTGTTTAACATTTCAATTCAACTGCACTATTATAGAAAAATTATGTAATGCTTTCTATTATCTACTTTGAGAACCGCACAGTTTACAAAACTGATGGATTCTGTGTGCTCTGAGATTAAACCAAATTTTCAGAATAATTTATAGCATTTAATAATCTGTGAACATCATTGGTGAATATTATCACTGTATGTTGTGTTTGCTGTGAGCTGCAGCTGTGATGGCCAGGGTGCTTTCCAAGCATCAAGAATGACTTATTTTTTGATGAATCTGCAAAATCTATATTTAAATAACACCTATAAATCTTACATCTGAGAGCTCCCTTAGTTATCTTCTTTGTTAGAGTGATAGTTTTATTAAATGCTGGGTGTAAACACAGAAAAAAAAAAATCTAGAGGGAAATGATAGGATGGTATGAAACAAGGACATCACTATTAAGTTATGTTGTTGCCACGAGTAGGCGAGAGAAAATGATTCAGATGTCTGATGCCTCTCTGCAGAGTCACTGGCAGGAGTCTGGGAGGAAAACTACCCTGCATCCCAGCTGCAGTCCCCTGTGGGACAGTGCTCCTGCCTCATGCTCCCTGTGGGAGGGGAGAGGAGCATCAGTTGGGGATGAAGGGTCAGTCTGTACTCAGTTACACCCACTCTCCTACCATGTGCGCAAAGAAGGAGAGGGCTGAAGGAGCCCTGTGAGGATCTCTGTGCCTCTTTGCCTAGGGAGGTCTCCTCCAAGCTAAGGACCCTTGCAGCTGCAAGTTGTGCAGCTTGTCAAAACCCGCTCTGGGACTTGAGCCAGACAAATTTTGTAGAACAGTGAGGGTCTCTGAGCACAGGTATAGCTTCACTCTCTCCCCTGGAAGCACTGAAGTGCCGAAGTGTTGTAGCTCCAGCACATACCTTGTAAAGCCACAGTGAAGGAAATGGCTGTGGCTCACATGGTGCAATACTTAGAGAATGTGGGAAAGCACACACAGTATAGCTTCTTGAGGTAACCAATATAATTGGAGAAAGACCCTTATTTTGAAAGGCATTATGGAGAAGCATTTTTTTAGTTTGCTTTGAGACTGATTGTAAATAAACTCCTATTTTGAACACTGAATCTTGTTGCAGTACCTTCTGTGGGCTGGTCTCTGTGACAATAAAAATGAACTTCTGAAGTCTTGTGAGAGGGAGGAGAGAGGATGACAATGCTGGGCATATACAAAGAAGTCAAAGTTGCTGGTCAGGAGCCTGCAGCCTCCCAGAGGGGAAGGTACTGGCACCCCCATCATTTGGGGGCATAGATAAATGCTGCTGTTGTAGAAAACAGCAGGATGGGAAAACTTCATTTTGAAACAAATCCTAAGCACTCCCATTTCCCATTGACTTATTCTGACATGAATCAAATAAAGATCACAAGGCCAAAGTCAATATGTTTGCTCAGACAGAATAATTCCAGTCAAACTATACTCAGTGTCAGGAATGACAGTATCACTTACACCGAAATCGGGAAAACAAAGACAGACATGCTCACAGACCCAACAAGGAGCAAAACCTTCTTTGTTCAGCCCTCTCTCAACATGTATAGAACATGCTTGTAAGAGCAAGTCTTATTTGTAAAAGAAGTCATAATTTATCATGAAATTATGGTCACATGATATTGTGCTTATATAACTTGAGGGAAACCCCAAGAAATCCCAAGACTCTCCTGCACCTCCTGGATTGAGCAAAATGAAGCACGAGGAATCTGACCCAGAGATCACCAAAATTAACAGGGGCCAAGGACCACAGTAGCATGAAAAGATTTTTATTAAGAGATTCTATGCCCTTCTGTGTCCCTGTATTGCCAGCTCTGAGTACTGAATTGTTATTAGTCTCTAAAAGATGCAGGAACAATTTAAAATTCTTAGTTACTAAAATTATGAAATAATGGTTTTATTTACTCTGGCATCTGCCATAAGAACCATTATTTTCAGGACTTATGTATAAACTTTTTCCTTTTCATCCATGAGACCGATTTTTTTCTTGATTTCAGTCAAAAGAATAATCTCAGATGCCAAGTATGACTTTCGATGTCACCGTGACGGTGCTGCGAGTTGGCATCACTTCGAATCAACTTCCAGTAGCCTGTAAACGCGGCTGAATGGATTCCCCAAAAGAAAATTTACTCTGAAAAGTAAGTGAAGACATGCTGTCAAAAACCCAGCGGGCGCCGGTGCCACGGCAAAGCCAAACCAGGCGAGGCCAGGCAAGGGACCCCCGCACTGCCGGAGCGGCCGGGAGAGGGAACCAGCCGGTTGAGCTTCACTCTCCGAGCAGCCGTGGCAAATCTCAGGGATACAAAAGCCGTTCCCCGGAATCGCGCTCAGGCTTAACTAACTCAAAGACCGTGTGAGCGGCAGGACCCGGGGCGTGTGTCGGTGCGGGACCAAGGCTGGGTCCTGCTTCGGCGAAGGTTCCGAAAACCGGCGGTGGGTTCCCGACCACCGCGGAAGGGCGGTGGGATGTCTCAAGGAAGCACGGGCACTTCCTCGCCCGGCCGGGAGGGTATTTCCCCTGCAGCGCCTCCCTGCCCCGGGGCCGGGGGTTGCTGCGGGAGAGCGACCCCGCCGCCGGCCCCGGCCCGGCCGATCCCCGCCGCGCCGCCCCGGGAGCTGCGGGCCCTCATTGGCCGCGGGCAGCCCCGTGAGCGGCGGCGGGGGGGTGCGAGCCCCGTTACCCGGCGCGGCGGCCGCCCGTGTCCCCCCTGCCGTCCTCCCGGCGGCGCGGGTCGCTGCCGGGGCCGGCGCATCGCTCCGCTCGGCCGCGGCGCTGGCGGCGAGCGGGTGTTGCAGTAAATGCGTATGTCTGCGGCACAGCCCGGGGCGGCGCGGCGGGCTCCCTGCCCTCCGGGGCGGCGGCGAGCCCCGCCGGGCCGGCCCGATGCGCGCCCCTCCTCCGGGGCCACGTGCTGAGGGGTGAGCGAGGGTCGGGGTGGTCCCCGCCCGGGGGAGACCCGGGTTCGGCTGTGAAGCCGGGGCCGGCGGCCGGCACGGGGAGCCCCGGCGGTGTATTGTTCTCCTTGACAGATAACGTGATCTCGGCCAGGCGAGAGCGAGCGGGTGGAGGGGTCGGGGGAGGGAGAGAAAGGAAGCGGAGGGAGGGGAGGGGGCAGGAGGATCCCGCGTCCTCGGAGGAAATTCTCAGGCCGGGAGGACGCGCGGCTTGCGCACGGCAAGTCGGGACTGGCTCTCCTGGGAGTTCCCTCGGCGGGGAGGGGGAGGGGAGCGGCGATCTCCGCCGACGGGGAGAGGCCGCGGCTTCGCCCTGCGAGGCCCTGCCTCCTCGGTGCGCGCCCTCCTCAGCGCGGAGCTCCCGCGGCTCCCGCCCCGCGCAGCTCCCAGGGCGGGCAGAGCCCAGCACCGCGCCCGGGAGCGCTCCCGCCGCCGCGCGGGGGGACCCGGTGACGTCACGGGCGGCGCGCTCCCCGCGCTCGCTCCGCGCTCGCCGCCCTGTAACTTCTGTTCTGGGAAGTGGTGCCAGGAATAGCCCGGCGGAGCCGCCTGCAGCGCGGAGCGCTCCCTCCCTCCGCGGCCAGGGCGGGCTGCGGCTCCCGGGCCTCCGCCTCTCCCCCGTGCAACACCAGCCCCTCCGCCACTGTCAGGGAGATGGTGATGAGCCTTTCCAAAAAGAGGGAGAGGAATGACCTGCCTTAAGATAAACGCGTGAAGCGGGCGCCCCTTGGCCGCTGGAATATCTCTGTCTGTCTTTATATATAAAGAAGCACCGCGAGCCGCCTCACTCCGGGCGAGCCCTTAGCAAAGGAGCAACACGAGCGCCCGGCGGGATCAGCAGCAGCAGCAACAACAACAACAACAAGGGCACCGGGCTTCTTTCCCTCCTTCCTCCTCGGTGATTTCCCAGGTGAGCAGCACCGGCTGCTGCGGGCAGCCCCCTCCTCCCTACCCGCCGCTCATTCCCTGTCACCGGCACCAGCTGACAGCCGCGCCGGGGCGGCGGGGCTCGGGTGCGGGGCGCCGCGGGGCTGGGGTCGGGCCGCGGCAGGCAGGGCGCTCCGCGGAGCGGGGGGGTCTGTGCCGGCGCTCCGAGTGCCGCCCGGGGCTGCGGGGGTAAATGGAGGGCAAGGCGGCGGGAGGGCGCCGGCGGGGGAAGCCGGCGGGGCTGTAAAACCGCCGGACCGGTAAGTCACCTCTGTGGCGGCGGCTCCGGGCGCTGGCAGGCACCGGCACCGTCCCCCGGGCACCACGGCCGGCGACCCTTCCTGCTGAGCCGGCGCAGGAGGGGGACACGGCTGGGACAGGCCTTTGTCGGTGACACGCCGTTAGGAAATGTGGGGAATACCCGGCTTGTAAGTGTATGCAGATGAGAAGGCTGCCTTGCGTAATCCCCTCCTGCGGCGGGGAATGGGCATGGTCACCGCCGGGTAGAGGCGCCCGCGGGGGGGGCCGACCCGACGGGGCACTCATCGCGGCCTCCGGCGCCCCGGGAGCGGATGGGGGGGCACCAAGGCAGGGGGGGCGCCCGGGGCCACCCGGCGCGGCGGAGGGCAGGGCGCTGGAGGTAGCGGAGGGAGGGGATGTGCCCGGGCTGCCAGCGCGTCCCCGCGAGGGTGCCGGACAGGGGGAAGTGCGAGTGTGTGCGGGGACACCCGGCACCGCGCCGGGGTGCGTGTGCGGGAGTGCGTGTGCGCGCTGCGCCGCGGTGACTGTTCCCTGAAGTGGGTGGGACGTTGGCCCGTTCCGGGAATGTTCCATGACGTGTAAACGCCACAGGAAGGGGGTTAACGAGGGGCTCGGCCGGGGCCGCCGCCGGGTCCCTCCCTTTCTCCCTCCCTCCGTCCCCCCGCCCGCCGGCGGGGCTGCCGCGGGGGCCGGCGGGGGCACGATCCCTTATGTAATGCGGGGTACGTGTGCGGCCGGCGGGGATTATGTAAGCGGCACATCCGCGCCTGTCGCATAGGCTATCGCATAGGATACAGCACCGCACGCCGGCTCCGCGCCGGGAGGCGGGCAGGGGCGGCGAGCTGCCCCGCAGCGTCCCCGCCGTGTCCCCGCCGCCGGGGTCAAGCGGCGCGGGGGAGGCGGGGGAAAGCCCCGGGTTATCCCGGGTCATGCCCCGCAGCCCGCCCCGACCTTCCTGCCCGGGGCTGGCGCGCCGCACGGCCTTCCCCTCGTGAGAGGGAGCCCGGGGCGGAGGGGACGGAGGGTGGTGGTGTCCCCAGGAACTCCGGCCGCGGGTGGAAGCCGATGGGAGGCCCCGCCGCCCCAGCACGCCTGGCCCGGGGTCCCGGCCGGCTGCCGGCCAGCACATCTTGTCTCCGTGGGCAGGCGGCCGGGGCTCGCCCCGGGACAACGATAAACCTCCTCAGAGCTTAATTTCCCGGAAAAGGGTTCTGTTTTTCTTATTAGTTGGCATTAATGGTCAAACTTTTTTTTTTTTAAGGTTTTTTTTTTAAGGTTTTTTTTTTTTTTTTTTTTTTTTTTTTTTTTTTTGCCGAAAAAAAAAAAANAGTTTTTTTTTTTTTTTTTTTTTTTTTTTTTATATGATAGCTGCAGAAATGAAACTTCTGCTGAAACACTAAAGTATTGGGGTTTTTAAAGCAATAATTCTTAAAAACCTTTTTAAACTAAAGTAATCGAAATACTAATGAGTTTCAGCAGAAATATTTAGCTAAATAGTTTCTCTTGTCTCGTTTTAAATTGAAGCCTACTTTAATATTAAATCTGTCTGGGTTTGTGTTATTAAATAATAGAGGGGGCACTAAACGTTTTTTGCTGACTTAGTCAAGGGTGTCACTTTTTTTTTTTCTTCTAATGAATTTATACTGAGAGCTATTACGAGAGAAGTAAACAAAGTGGTCAGGGTGGCAGAAGAGAAGCATTGCTGGCGAGGTCTGTATTTCTCTGCTTCCCGGAGCTGCGGGTGCAGGCGTGTGTTCGTGCATCTCCCAGCGCAAGGGGGCTCCGGTCATCATCGGCAGGAGTTCTGGGGACACCGGGTAATTGGAGTAATTACTAGATTAAAGGAACTACTGGTCTAACGAGGTACAAATTCAGTGGGCCCAGTTTTAAGTTCTGTTGTTGTTGTGGATTACCACTGACTAGCAGAGGAGTTTGATCCTCAGGTTATCAGGACTCGGTGTGGAATCCTCAATATTTTGATAGTGAAGATGATATACAGACATGCTCAAAAAGTGCATCTGTTTTTCAAAGATAGGAGAGTCTCTGCCTGTTGGATTTGCAGCACGTGGGCATATTTAGGTAGATGCAGTGTACCCTGGGGTTTATATTTATTTATACTTAGGTGTTAAATCTTTCCTGATCCTTCCACTCAGGAGATGTTTCTGAAACTTCAGGTATGGATTATCTGAAACTTTCTTCATTATGTTTTTTGCTTTGTCTCATTTCTCAAAAAATTAAGTATTGTAGAATAGGCTGGGAGGGTTTTTTCATGTGAGTTTTAAGAAGTCACTACTGCCATCTGCAAATGTATTGAAGATTCCTGTGGTTTTCAGCTGTGCAAAGGCGGCAGTGATATGGTACGAGATCAGTGTGCCATTATTTTGTTGATTGAATAATCTGCATTTTTAATGCAGATTTTGTATCTGTTGTGTTGATGTTATTTTCCAATGGCTGTTGGGCACAGCAGTTCTATGCGTCCTGACTGAAGTGACTTCTTCAAACCTCACTGCTGTGGATTAGGATAGAATCGAGCAGCACTTGTCCCAAAGCACAAATGTAGAGGACTTTTAATTGTGTGTCTAAGTCCAATTGTGTGGCAACAGTGCAGAATGCTTCTTTATAAAGGCAGATTATTAGATTCTCAAGTGACTAGATTGCCTCATATGTGAGATCTGTTTACAAACCTTCTTGTTACTATGAAGACAAAACAGAGAGCCATATGCATTCATGTGGTCCTTGCTGAATAATGGTACATGTGTCTACTTGAGTGTTTGGCAGTATATCATGTTTAGTTTATGTGGTGGCACCCTACAAGGCTATTCCTTTTTGACTTTTAACTATTTCTAATACCACTGGCTGTACTCACTTGTGTGTGTAAATTTATGAGCCCGGTCTGCATGTTTGTAACTAAGCTGGATGTTTCTAAAGCAGGACATTTCTTGTTGAGCATTTTGCCAAATTTCTTTGCTTATTTATTTATTTAGGTGCTTTTTAAAAAAGAATAAAGGTGAATTGGATTTAAACACAAGTGAAAGTAGTGAGTACCATTTTGTATGTCCCTCTGCTCATCATTTTTGGTCAACAGCAGGGGCAGTTACTGTTACTGCTTTTGTAATTTAACCATATTGGGTAAAGTAGTGGGAATATAGGAGCTGTGTGCCTGGCAGAAGTGGTTTACTTAGTGAAATACTGCAATACTTACCCATCAAAGAGAAGAATGCTTGCTATTTAAGAGTATTCCTGTATACAAGTCATCGTAATGTATAAGTCACAGTAATAGGACTTGGGTAATGAAATATGGCTTCCATCCTTCAAATTTGAGTGTGAGCTTATAATAAGCTGTGGTTGGTTATATTGATAGTTATCTGTACAGCTCAGCAAGTACTACCTGCTTGTAGTTGATTCTGCCCAAGGATTGCAGGTAAATCACCAGAGCTGAGTACTGACTTCCTTAGTCCTATCACAAATCAGGCCCATGAAAAGTTGGTTCTTCATGTCAGTGGTCTTCACACAGGGTAAAGAGAAAATGTTTTATCCATTTTACCTCAGACTGTCAGTATGTGGTTTTAAATTATTGGTCCAACACGTTTCTTCATCCAAGCAGGAGGAGTGCATAATTATTATTATTCTTACGGGTTAAAGGCTTCAGGAAGAGTTAATTGTTAATACTTTTGGGAGCTGAACAGGAGTGTTGAGTGCAGAGGCTGCATACCTTTGTTATTTGAAAAAGGTCTGATAAGTTACGAGGAAACTGCTTTAAAAATTCTTTTTTTTTTTTTTAAAGAGGCAGGTTATTTTTTCTCAAGATTTCTTAAACAGCATCTCTGAAGCAGTATGCTACAGATTAAATATTTTTGAAGTTATTTGGCTTTCTTCTGTAGTTTAACCATTTGTTTGTTGGATTTTTTTTTGTTTGGTTGAGTGTTTTGGTTTTTTGTTTTTTCTTTTCCCCTTCAATAGACTATCTAGCAGTTGCTAAAGAAGTGAAGAAGCAGCAAGGGGAAGTGTAAGCTAGATGGAAAATGGAGAATGGTAGTTTTCACATATTCAGTCACCAGTTTGGGATGCTACATTTAAATAAAGCAGCGCAGAATTATGATAGAACAATGAAAGTTTCAAGCTGGTTGTGCAGCTTGAATGTGCCATTCTGATACGAAATAGCAGCTTTGTACAGCCTTCTTTCTCAACTGGGTGCTTAAAAATTTTTGTAAGATTTTGCAATGACTCCCCTATTTCAGCAGAAAATATTAAAAAGCAGTTCATTGCAGCCATATTTTTAATTCTCAAGTGAAATTAGGACTTGTGAAAATGCTGGTCTGACAGCCTGAGAGAAAAAATCCACTGTAAATAGAAATATTAGAAGATTTTCCATGACAACCAAGTAGCAAACTCCTGTTTAGACTTCAAGAAATCATTAGTGAAATTAAAGAATATGTTAATGTCTGGAAAAATCTGGGGTTTTTAAAATTTTTTTTCTTTTTACAAAAATAGCAAGTGGGAGGTACCATGGACGTCTTATTTCACCATTCTGCTTTGTTCACAGATGAAACAATTGGCTTTACCCTCCCTACTCACTTGTAGTAGGTTGTCCCCAGTAAGGTTGTCCCTGAGAACTCTCTTTCCAAAGCTGTGAGCTGTGGAAAAGGTGGGGGAGGATATAGGTAGGGGGAACAATCTTATACAGTGTTTCAAAATCCCCAGTGTAGAATAAGACATTCAAGTACCAAATGCAATTTTGTCTGTCAGGAATCGCTTGCCTTTTTTTATTGTCTTGTGATTAAATTCTTACCGTCATTGATATGGTCTAAACATAAAAGCTTCTTCTTGCTCTGAGGAAGTATTGTGGATTTTGGGTGTTTGTTTTCATTTGTCTTTCAGGCACATTCTGTACATCTGCAAAATGGTCACTGTGTTCTCTGTATGCCAGGGTACCGCAGTGGGGTGTGGACCACTCTGGTTTTGGTCACAGTATTGCTTATGTTTCCATATTTCCTTGTTCTGCCCTGGATGTGTCTCTTTTATTGTTTTTTTGAACCTGGATATCGCCTTTTACTTGAATAAGCAAAAACCTGTGCATGCTTTTTCCCCCCTTCTCTTTCTCTGGATGGGAGTCTCAGGGCATACCTACCCAAAAGTGTACCTGCCACCTGAGTGGTTTTCTGAAAGTAATGCAGTGCTTAAATATGGATTTAATTATCTGATGTAAATTCCCCTGGTACATGGTTATACTGATATGACCAGTTTGTACAGTGATAGTATCCCCTTTTTCTGGGTTTGTTTATGCACATTCTATCGCTGTCAGTGTAAACTTGGTCTCAGCAGAAAAGTTCCTTCTAAGTATGACATGGTAACCACGGGTAATGTAATAATGTAGTAGGTAATGAGTTTATGGCCACTTCATGTACACAGGGGTTTGTTTTGTTGCACCTCAATTTGTCTTTTACAGAAAATTATTTTCTTAGTTTTTTCTTTTTTTTCTTTTTCTGGTAGTTGATAGTTCTGCCCTAATACACTTACAGAGTCTGAAAAATGCAACTCATGTATAAGAAATTTGATCCTGCACACTCAAAAAAAGAATAGTAAAGAATACATCTGTTTTTAAATGAGAAAGTTTACTTAATTGCTACTGAAGTAACTTGTAATAAACTGCTGCAGCTCTGGCTAAAATACTTGATTTATGTAAGGTGCAAAAAAGGTGGGGAAAAGAATATACAGTCTTTTTTGAAAGGCTTAGCTTAACTGCTGTTTTGTCATACAGGAGAAATTCAAGGTTTGACTGCTACAGAAAGTTTCTCTCTCGGGTAGTAGTTTATTGGAAATTCCATACAAAGAAAAGCAGTTAGGTAATTTGCATGTATAGTTTGGTTTAATAGAACAGTGAAAACTAGAGGAGCGAACGTGAATTGATATTACAGTGTCAGGTGGCATTTAAAAAGTAATGCAATAAAATAGAGTTTGACCCTCTTCATAAGAAAATACTTAAAAAAATGAAGCAGAAAAATTCCAAGTTGTTTTCTGTAATTTATGGTGAAGTTTAGACTTTCGTGGCTACAGAGAATAGTGTTGCTAAAGAAATGTCAAAAGCTGAAAGAAAATTCTAACTGCACAGTGTATGATATGATACATCAGAGGATTTAGTTGAAATAATATTATTTATTGAGCAAGATTTCCATAGAGCAACATCTGTGCTTAGGCAGAAAGGA